CCAAACTAGACTAAAGCAGTGCACATTTATTTAAATAGTTTGGGTGCTCCAGTGGGCACAAGATGTAACTGCCCAGATATTGATGGTGCCTAATCTTTGGGTCATATATCACACCAATTCTGGATCAGCCAACTGTGACCTTTACAACTGTTAATAGTTTGGAGCTAAGTTGCTACAGAATCATATAACTCCTACGAACCTGTTTGACCACTACAGCCTTGTTTGTGTGTAGATATCATGGCAAAATTGCTGCTTGAAACAATCATAGATTTTCTGTCACAATACATATTACAGTTTTTGTTGAGATGTGGTGACTGCTTTCATATGTCTAAAATTTTTTTTTACAACTTTTTGAAATGTATTGCATTCTCCAATGCACCAGGAAATGGTGAAAAGTTATTACTGACTACGTTCAATCAATAAAGGAATAATGTGTTCCAAAAATTCAGGAGAACACAGAAAGAAGGAAGAATTGATTTTTAAAATTGTTTTTAAATGGCATCATGTATGGGATCTCGCTTGTGGTGCAAAACACGTATTCCTCTGAGACTCTAGACTTATCTGTTCCTGTTCCCAGCCAAAAGATACCAATTTCTTCCTTAGTCTTGAAGCAGAAATTCCTTGAAACTGCAACTCCTAGGGAAGTAATGCTACCCCTCTATTCCACTTTGCTGTCTTCAGAGGGCAAAACCTGGAATATTGTGTCCAATTCTGGGCACCACAATTGAAAAGAGATATTGATAAGCTGGAATGTGTCCAGAGGAGGGCGACTAAAATGATCAAGGGTCTGGAGAACAAGCCCTATGAGGAGGGGCTTAAGGAGCTGGGCATGTTTAGCCTGAAGAAGAGAAGGCTGAGAGGAGATATGAGAGCCATGTATAAATATGTGAGAGGAAGCCACAGGGAGGAGGGAGCAAGCTTGTTTTCTGCTTCTGGAGACTAGGATGCGGAACAATGGCTTCAAACTACAAGAGAGGAGATTCCATCTGAACATGAGGAAGAACTTCCTGACTGTGAGAGCCGTTCAGCAGTGGAACTCTCTGCCAAGAGTGTGGTGGAGGCTCCTTCTTTGGAAGCTTTTAAACAGAGGCTGGATGGCCATCTGTCAGGGTGCTTTGAATGCAATATTCCTGCTTCTTGGCAGAATGGGGTTGGACTGGATGGCCCATGAGGTCTCTTCCAACTCTTTGATTGTATGATTCTATCACAGGATTTTGTGTGGTTGTGAGTGTCTGACCTGCCCAGGGTCACCCAGGAGGTTTTTTTCATATCTGAACAGGGATTTGAACCATAGTCTCCAGGGTCTTAGCTCAACACTTAAACCATTATACTTTGTAACACTATTTTTGTTCCGGGGTTATAAGTGTCATTTGTCATTTCTTAATTGGTTCCATCATAAAAACATGGAAAACATTTGTCAAACTGCACAACTTTGTTCTTGTGGGACATCCTGCATTTTGCTTGTTTTCTAATGAATATCTCACCGAGTTTCAACAAATTCAACATAGCTTGTGGCAGCTACAAAAATGAAGTTTTTGGAGTAGAACAACTACTTTCAAAGTAGCCGACAATTAAACAAGAAATCACACTTTCAAACCAGGAACAGAACATTTTTCAGATTTTGTTACATAGCATTATACGATGTTTGCTCTCCTTTGAAATGAGCCTGGTAGAACTCAGTGGAACCTCTGATTGGACACTTTAAAGTTCCTCCTACATTTGGCTTGATTAGCATATGATTAGCATACAACACCATGATTTCACCCTAACTATCATGGTTACCTCCAACAGAAATTCTGGGAATAGAGAGGGTTAGGTGCAATTCCCAGCCAGAAAACTCCTCTAGCACATCCCCAGGGATCCTATAGTCCCCGCAGTGGCTCTCAACCTGGGGTTCCCAGATGTTTTTGGCCTAAAACTCCCAGAAGTCCAATCCATTTTACCAGCTGTTAGGATTTCTGAGAGATGAAGGCCAAAAACATCTGGGGACCCCAGGTTGAGAACCACTATGATGGATAGTCAAGGCAGTATAAGTGAGATCATAGTGCTATAACTGTGTACTGCAAAAGAGCCCAGCGTGGTCAAATCAACTGTCCTGGACATCCTAAGATTATTTCAAAATGTGTCTTGATGGACATAGTCCATCACCACAGGCAATCCCCTAGTTACAAACAAGATAGGATCAGTAGGTTTGTTCTTTAGTAGAATTTGTCTGTAAGTCGAAACAGACACATTTTAAAAGTGTAACTCCATCTCTCTTTCTCTCTCCATATATGCACAATACAATAAAATTATATATATTATAATAAAATAAAGACATAATAATATCATATATATATACATATACATATACACACACACACACACACACACACACACACACACACACACACACACACATATATATATATATATATATATATATATATATGGTTGTTGTAGATTTTTTCGGGCTATATGGCCATGTTCTAGAGGCATTCTCTCCTGACATTTCACCAGCATCTATGGCAAGCATCCTCAGAGGTAGTGAGGTCTGTTGGAACTAGGAAAAGGAGTTATAGGACTTAATGTCAGGGGAAAACCTTTACCTTTACCTTATACATATATAAAAATGTAATGTTCGTTTGTGGGATTAACTCAAAAACCACTGGATGAATTGACACTAAATTTGGACACAATACATCTATCAGGCCAACAAGTGACCATCACACATAAAACACTGAAAAACACAGCGGAAGGGACTTAAAAAGCCAAAAAAATAATTACATTTACAACGCATGCATAAAACCACATATACACACATACACACACATATACACATATATACACAAACTGGGCCACAGCAATGCATGGCAGGGGATGGCTAATATATATATATATATATATAATTTATTTATTTAGAAGTTTTTTATACCGATCTTCTCACCTTGAGAGGGACTCAGATTCGGTTCACAACATGTGTAATATACAAATTTACAAACACACAATGCATTATCAAAAAACATTAAAAACATATTTCAATACACAGTATACAATATACATCATCAACATCACAGTTATATATAAGCCAGGTCGTCAGAACATTAGTCGTAGTTCACAGTTAGTCATATTCCTTCCATGTAGACCCACGTTGACTCAGTTATCAAAGGCCAGATCCCAAAGCCAGGTCTTTCTCAGTTTTCTGAACGTCAGGAGGGAGGGTGCGGTTCTAATCTCCAGAGGGAGGGCATTCCAAAGCCGAGGGGCCACCATCGAGAAGGCCCTGTCTCTCGTCCCCATCAACCGTGATTGTGACAGTGGTGGGACCGAGAGCAGGGCTCCCCCGGACGATCTTAAGGACCTTGATGGTTTGTAGGGGAGAATCCGTTCGGACAGGTAAACTGGGCCAGAGTCGTTTAGGGCTTTGTAGGTCAAAACCAGCACTTTGAATTGTGCTCGGAAGCTAATCGGCAGCCAGTGGAGCTGGCGCAACAAAGGAGTGGTGTGCTCCCTGTATGCAGCACCCGTTAATAATCTGGCTGCCGAGCGGTGGACTAGCTGCAGCTTCCGGGCAGTCTTCAGAGGCAGCCCCACGTAGAGAGCGTTGCAGTAATCTAGGCGGGATGTAACCAAAGCGTGGACCACTGTGGCGAAATCAGCCTTCCCAAGGTACGGGCGCACAAGTTTTAATTGTGCAGAAGCTCCCCTGACCACTGCCGAAACCTGAGGCTACAGGCTCAGCGACGAATCAAGGAGAACCCCCAGACTGCGAACTGTGTATATATATGTGTATATATATGGCTGGAGTTACACTTAAAATATATCTCTTCTGGCTTCCATACAAATTCAACTTTATATATACACAGACATGCACACTTGGGATTTGCATAGGAAAGGGTTAGCAGAATAACTCTTCCAGAAGTGACTTTCCCTTCCTAGGGGTAGATTTCTCTCTCTTCCAGTCCTCTCACCCCGTACTTAATTATGAGTCGTTTGCAAGTTGGATGTCTGTAACTCGGGAACTGCCTGTACTCAATTAGAGTAGGACTAAAGTTCCACTGGAGAGGGACACAGAAGATTCTCAGCTAGGGAATTCTCTAGCTCAGTGGTTCTCAACCTTGCTAATGCCGTGACCCCTTAATGCCATTCCATATGTTGTGGTGACTCCCAACCATAATATTGTTTTCGTTGCTACTTGATACCTGTCATTTTACTACTGCTATAAATCGTAATGTAAATATCCGTTATGCAGGATATATTTTCATTCACTGGACTAAACTGAGCACAAACACCCAATATGCCCAAATGTGAATGCTAGTGGGGTTGGGAGGGAGGATTGATTTTGTAATTTGGGAGTTGTAGTTGCTGGGATTTATAGTTCACCTATAATCAAAAAGCATTCTGAACTCCACCAGCGATGGATTTAAACCGAACTTGGCACAAAGAACTCCCATGACCATCAGAAAACACTGGAAGGGTTTTGTGGGCATTGACCTTGAGTTTGGGAGTTGTAGTTCACCTACATCCAGAGAAGGGCTGTGGATTCATGCAATGACGGATCTGAACCAAACTTGGCACGAATACTCAGTATGCCCAAACGTGAACACTGGTAGAGTCTGGGGAAAATAGACCTTGAAATTTGGGAGTTGTAGTTGTTGGGATTTATAGTTCACCTACAATCAAAGAGCATTCTGAACTCGACCAACAATAGAATTGGGTCAAACTTCCCACACAGAATCTCAATGACCACCAGAAAATACTATATTTTCTGATGGTCTTTGGCGACCCCTTTGACACCCCCTCACGACCCCCTCAGGGGTCCCGACCCCCAGGTTGAGAAACACTGCTCTGGCTCATCTACTTCCAAGGAATCCAGTGCAGAAGGACACCCATCAATCAGGCAAATGAAGAACTTGAAAGGGTGGCAAGCCATGGAAGAGGTGAAAGGAGGAAAGCCATGGGAGATCCTTGACTAGAAGGCTGGGGAGGGACAGTACAAAGAAGCCAGGAGTCCTCCTTACCTAGGAAGAGGCAGGCGCCTTCAAGCCTCGGAGAGATCCAGCCGGCCATCGTCAGAAGTCGGAGCAGCCTTGTCGTCGGAAGGAGAGAGAGCTCGAGCTTGGGAGCGCCTTTTCGCCCGTTTCCCTTCCCAGCCGGCGCTCCCCGGGGTTTATAGCGTTTCCTCCCGACGGGGGCGGGCGATGGGCCGGGAGAACCGTGGCGGAAGTCGAGCCCATTGCTTTGACATGCGTTGGGGCTCGGATTTCCCCGGTGACGCAAGCCGGGGCCCCGAGGCGGAGGGCCCCACGCCTCTCGGATCTGGAGGCGCCTCCTCCTCCTTTCTCCTCCTCCTCCTCCTCCTTTCTCCTTCTCCAAGGTGCAAGGAGACAAGGGTACAGCTCCACTGTAGGAGGGATGCACTGTGATACTACTGTAACCACTTCTCAGAGTCAAAGTATGCTTGTTGGCTTGTCCCTTTGTCCCACAAAGGCTCCTACACAGTTAGGATCTCGACTCAACGTGGCACACACTTTATCTTCTTCTTCTTCTCTTCTCCTCCTCCTTCACTCTTCTCTTCTTGAGGTCTCATCATCCTCATACTCTCAATCCTTATCATACTCTTATAATTATATTCGGCTTTCTCATACTTAAGTAATAATCCTTCTACTCAGTCACTCTTCTAGTACTTTACTTGCTTCCTCTCCTCATAAGAGATACGTATGTATTCCTCTTCCTACTGCCGCCTCCTACCTGAATACTACTAATACATACCTCTTATTCTTAGCTATCATACGCACCTCCTAGATTCTTATTCTATTCTTCTGCATTACTCCGAAACGTACTTAAGATTAAAGTATTAGTTTTCTCCTTATAATACATAATACTACAGATTTCAGCCTATTCCAATCTTCTCCTTCTTCTCCTTCTTCCTCTCCTCCTCCTCCTCCTTCTTCTTCCTCTTCCTCCTCCTCCTCCTCTTCTTCTTCTTCCTCTTCCTCTTCTTCTTCTTCTTCTTCTCCTCCTCCTCCTCCCTCTTCTTCTTCCTCTTCCTCCTCCTCCTCCTCCTCCTTCTCTCTCTTTCTTCTTCTTCTTCTTCTTCTTCTTCTTCTTCTTCTTCTTCTTCTATATAAATAAAAATTTAATGTTCGTTTGTGATACCATCAGAACTCAAAAAAACCACTGGGGGAATTGACACCAAATTTGGACACAAGGCACCTAACAGTCGAATGTATGTCCTCCACTAAAAAAAAATGATTTTGTCATTTGGGAGTTGTCGTTCATGGGATTTATAGTTCACCTACAATCAGAGAGCATTCTGAACTCCCCAATGATGGGAAGAAAATGTAATCAAAGCCCTCCTGACAAAGAGTCATCCAGCCATAGATAGATAGATAGATATGATTCACACACACACAATATAGTATCATAGATTTGAAAGGGACCCTTAAAGAAGGACAATTATATGTTGCATGTTTCAGAGTAGGCAAACCAGACAATCTCCACATCAACACTGACATATAAACAACAAGGAATACTGTTTACCCACAAGCAGAAAGAGATTACATATATTAGAAACCATTACTTTATTTTCCAGATCACCAGACTGGGCCACAGCAACGTGTGGCAGGGGACGGCTAGTCTATATATATAAAAATGCTCTGTGCCTTCAAATGCTAATGAAGGTGGTCAGTTGAAACATTCACACCTAGCTCCAGCAGAGAAGAGCCCTTTGCCCCACCCCGGTCATTCCACAGATATATAAATTTATTTATTTATTTATTTATTTTACTTATATACCGCTGTTCTCAGCCCGAGGGTGACTCATAGCGGTGTACAACACAAGAACAGCAAAATTCAAGACACAGTATAAAAACAATTTACAATCCAACATTATACAAACAAAATTATACAAAAACAACATCATTACTACGAAAACCATTCAGCGTCGTCTCATCGTCCAAACCACAATCCAATTTTGTTTTCCGTTGTTCTGTTCCTATAGTCATTACCAATAATTGCACTTCTTATTCGAATGCCTTCTTGAACAACCAAGTCTTTAATTTCCTGCAGAATATCATTAGAGAAGGTGCCAGTCTAATGTCCATGGGAAGGGTGTTCCACAGCCGAGGAGCCACCACCAAGAAGGCCCTATCTCTTGTCCCCGCCAGCCGTGCTTGTGAAGCAGGCGGGATCGAGAGCAGGGCCTCCCCGGAAGATCTCAAAGTCCTGGTGGGCTCGTAGGTCGAGATGCGGTCAGATAGGTATCTTGGGCCGGAACCGTTTAAGGCTTTATAGGCCAACGCCAGCACCTTGAATTGAGCCCGGTAGCAAATCGGCAGCCAGTGGAGCTGGTACAACAAGGGGGTTGTATGCTCCCTGCGTCCCGCTCCTGTTAGTATCATGGCTGCCGCACGTTGGACCAATTGAAGCTTCCGGGCCGTCTTCAAAGGCAACCCCACGTAGAGAGCGTTGCAGTAGTCTAAACGGGATGTAACCAGAGCGTGGACTACCGTGGCCAAGTCAGACTTCCCAAGGTACGGGCGCAGCTGGCGCACAAGCTTTAGCTGTGCAAATGCTCCCCTGGTCACCGCCGAAACCTGGGGCTCCAGGCTCAGCGATGAGTCCAGGGTCACACCCAAGCTGCGAACCTGCGCCTTCAGGGGGAGTGTAACCCTATGCCCTGTTCGACCTTACGACTGACCAGGAGTACCTCTGTCTTGTCTGGATTCATATAAACCCATTTTCCTAATTCCAACAGACCTCACTACCTCTGAGGATGCTTGCCATAGATGCAGGCGAAACGTCAGGAGAAAATGCCTCTAGAACATGGCCATATAGCCCGAAAAAACCCACAAGAACCTATTGATTCCAGCCATGAAAGCCTTCGACAATGCAGTTTAAATCCTTAAAAACTGATGAAGAGCGTATTCAAGGTTAAAAACCACAGCATCCCCTGACTTAAATCTTTGAAAACCTTCTTTTTTAAAAGCCTGCCTGAATAAGGCCTATTTTTAGCTGGTGGTATCTGGCCTGAGAAACCCTAAGATATGGCGTTCTCAGATATGATTCATCCCCAGAAATCATATTAAATGCTTTGCTCCCTGTGAATGATGGCTTTCATGTCAAGAGAGCAGTAAATACACTTGGTATTTCAGTCTGAATTTTAAAGGAGCATTTATTTCTTAGAAAATTTATACACTACTCTTCAGCCACAAAGACTCTTAAAGCATATTACAAATTATTCATTTGACATGTTTCCAATCTAAATAAGACCCAAGGGTTGGGGCTATTTGGGGTTCAGGACCTTGGACAGCTCATTTCAATTTCAGATTGTCGTGGCTCCACTACCTGCTGACATGGCAGCTACCCAATGCAGCTACTTAAAGCTCCATGTCTTGAAAATAGTGGATATCTACCAATGCTTACTTTAAGCTTTGGCTGATACATCAGTTATGTCCTTTCCTAGAATTGAAAAATCTAATCTCAAGGTTGTACTTCTGTAATGTGCTTTACGTTCGGCTACTTCTGTCTCAAGTTTGGAAACTCAAATTAGTTCAAAACATGGCAGCCAGGCTAGTTATGGGAACATCCAGGAATATATGCGACCTCTTGCTCAGCTGGTTCGAGATTTTGGGCTTGAGTGTTACCAGTACGCTGATGACACTCAGCTGGTGCTGAAGATGGAAGGCCGGCCGGACTCTGTACCCGATTATTTCCATCAGTGCCTCAAGGCCATTACTGGATGGCTGCGTGCCAGCAGGTTGAGGGTGAATCCAGCAAAGACGGAGATCCTATGGTTGAGTTGACCGGGCAGTGGAGATATCCAGCTGCCTGCCCTGGATGGCGAGGCACTACGCCCGTCATCATTGGTAAAGAATCTGGGAGTCCTTTTGGACCCTCTGCTGGAGGCCCAGGTCTCCGCCGTGAGCAGAACCGCCTTATTTCATCTGTGGCAGGCTAGACGGCTGGCCCCCTACCTGTCCAGGGACGACCTAGCTACGGTGATCCAGGCCACAGTCATCTCAAGACTGGACTACTGTAACGCCCTCTACATTGGCCTTCCTCTGTCGGTGATCCGGAAGCTCAAGTTGGAAGCTGCTCGGCTTCTTGCGGGAATTCCAATGAGATAACACCAATCTTACGGCAGCTGCATTGGTTACCATTTGAGCACTGGATCACTTTCAAAGTGATGGTACTTACCTTTAAGGCCTTGCATGGTCTGGGGCCGATGTACCTGAGGGACCGCCTCACCCCCTACCAACCCCTACCAACCCCAGAGATCCCTCCGGTCTGAGGACCAAGATTTGTTGGAAATTCCCAATGTGAAGACCTTGCGTCTAACAGCAACTAGACGCAGAGCCTTTACAGCAGTGGCACCATCACTCTGGAATACTCTGCCACCTGAAGTCCGTGCCTTGCGGGACTTATCAGTTTTCTGCAGGGCATGTAAGACATATCTATTACAACAGGCCTTTGACTTTTAATATTGCTGTTTTTAAATTGTTTTAAATTGTTTTTAAATTGTGTTAGATTTTAGCCTGTTCTTGTAAGCCGCTCCGAGCCCCATGGGAGTGGCGGCATATAAGTTCGAATAATAAATAAATAAATAAATATTACACCTATAATATAGCCAATCCACTGGCTGCCAGTTAGTTTCTGGGCAAAGTACAAAGTGTTGGTTTAAACCTTTAAACCCAAGTGGTGTCAGCCTAGGTTATTTATTTATTTATTTATTTATTTACTGTATTTGTATACTGCCTTTCTCAGCCAATTGGCAACTCAAGGTGGTTTCCAACAAATCAGTACACATAAAATATAATATAGATTGAAATATTAAACAGTATAAAACACCACAAGAGCAATAATAACAACATCATTAACATCTCCTTATTATCAAGCATTGTCCAGTTCCATTGTCAAATCATTCAATTTCCTATATTAGCTACTCTGCATTTGTAAATGCTTGCTCGAAAAGCCATGTTTTAACTTGCCTCCAAAATGTTAAGAGGGAGGGAGCAGATCTGATCTCCCTAGGAAGGGTGTTCTATAGCCAAGGGGCCACCACTCAGAAGGCCCTGTCTCTTGTTACCAAGCGTACTTGTGACGAAGGCGGGACCGAGACGATCTTAAAGTCCTTGATGGTTCATAAGGGGAGATACATTCGGACAGGTAAGTTGGGCCAGAACTGCTTAG